CACACACACACACACACACACACACACACACACACACACACACACACACACACACACACACACACACACACACTCACTTTCTCTCGCCGAAGCTAAGTCAAGGCGACGGGGGGACAGCGCCCGAGGACAAAGGCCTATCGCCCGCATCGGTACGTGGACGAACTGGAGGACGGGTTGGGGTGGCGGGGGAGGGGGATCGGCTTCGTCTCCGCCGCAAGGTACTTGAGGCGGCGGTTGCGGGGTCGCCATCCTCGGGCTTTGGCGGTTCTGGATCCCTGGTCTGGTCGTCACCGATGCGCTGACTTGCTCCGCTGGCGAATTCTAGCTGGCGTTTCCCGGCGGCAACCTCTTCTCGCCTACGCAAAGCCTCGGGGTCTTCCGCCTCCGTGCCCGTGCACGCTGCTTCCTCCGGCAGGGCTTCCCACTCAGATCCGGTCTCTTCTTCCTCCTCTTCTTCTTCTTCACTCAGCTCGCCCTCGCTATGCTTGTTATAGCTTCCCTCCTCCGACGTTTCCTCGTCGTCGTCTTTTTCGTCGTCTTCGATCAGTACTTCCTCCACCTTCGGATAGAATGCTTGATCGATGATGCCGTATGGCTTCAGATACTCCTGCCGCGATGGTAGGGAGTCTTCGTCCCCAGGCTCTTCCAAACATGCTCTCCACTGAAGATACGGATCCAACGTTCGCGTGAGCACGTGTGGAGCGGGGCTGTCGTCGCTTTGCGAAACGATGTCAGGAGAGAAATCGTCTGCCAGTTGCGAGATCGGCGCGATAAGTTCTTAAGTGATTAGCTAGCGATGTCCCGGCCGTACCAATCCGAAGAGAAAACCGAGGAGATCGCCTTCCTCGTTAGTCCTCCAAGCTTGTATAACCAGCACCTCCAAATTTTCGACCCACGCAGGATGCTCGCTGGTCTGAGTCCACGTCACCTGTACTCGGGCCAAACACAAGGACAACTCGACAAAGGTTTCGCGCCACAGTCGCCAATGCCCAGGATTAATGAGTGGGACAGAAAGAGGTTCGAATGAGAAGGAAAGAGAAGGATGAAGGTCGGACTGCAAGAAGGTGGGGAAAAGAGAGGGGACACCGAAGATCGTGAGAGGAGCGAGGGGATCGGCGGGGTTCATTGGGGACGTGGGAAAGGGACGAGGGTGGGGATCGCAACCGGCGGCTCGCGCGGAGAACGCCGGATATCGCCAAGATCCAGTGCAAAGGTCGGGATGAGGTTGTGCCCTGGTCAGGCGAGGCCGTGCTGCCACACGTTGGACACTTGCTCCGTCCACTCTCACAGCGAGGTCAAGATCGCGGTGTGCCACAATGGATTGACCGAACTGATGTCGCCGCTGAACGCTGCAACCGTGGTGACGTGGCTTGTTCCGGGAGCCGCTCGCCGATGAACTGCGATTACTTCTGCCAATACTACTGCATGTGGACTCTCTTCGATTCGAAACGCGGCGGCGGCACACACACCCACGTCGCAGAAGGACTCCGCCAATCGCCAAAGATCCGTACTAAGCCGTGGATGGCGAACTTGCCGAATTTCCGAGATGTGGCTACGTGGCTGCGACAGCTGTTCGTCCAGAGCCCGCTCCGCGATGAAACTCATGGCGAGGTCGGAGAGGAAGACGAAGAGCAGGAGGGGGAGAGCGGAGAGAGAGTTAGATCGCCGTCGTTCTCCTCGCTTTCCGAGGAGGAAGAGGGAGGAAGAGGACGGAGGTAGGAGGTATGTCGGACGATGGGGATAGAGCTATGGCTAGAACTAGCCTCAAGCGCGATGCGCACCGTGTTGGCGCCGTTAGGACCGAGCTCGACAACGCGAAAGCAGCCGGAGAATTTGGGAGCGAGTTTTCGGTCGTGTGCACATTTACGTACCTGCAGTAGGTCCCCTAATTTATATTGATGCTGGGGCCCAACATTTCCATTTCGAGCCTCGTAGCTACGGACCTGCCTACCGTGGGCCAGATCGATCATTCTTTGTCTTTTTCGGGCTAGCTTCGGGACGGTCCGCTCCATTAATTCGGTGTACCTTTTGGCCTTGGCCTTGAGGGCTGCACGTGTGTCTCTACCCCCTGATTCGGCAATTTCCGAGTTACCCGGTAGTCGACACAAGGGAGGCTATTAGTACGAAGTTGAAAAGGGGTGAACCCCGTGGACTCGTGAGGGGTGGCCCGATGCATCCCAACGATCTGGTATACGATCTCGGGCCACGAACGCGTGTCGTGTGCTGCTAAATTCCTACGAAGGGCGGTTTTAATCATGCGGTTGGCGTTTTTAGCCAGCCCGTTCGACTGCGACACGTGTGGGGCCGTATGTCGGAGCGTGACGCCCCTTCGTGCAAGCAGTTCTTCTACTTCTCCCTTAAATTCGGACCCATTGTCGGTTAGGATTTCTTTCGTATCTAGATGGGTGTAGAGGAACCGATCGATGTATGTGGCTATTTCTGCGACCTTGCGGGTCTTACAGGGATAGACCTCGATGTACTTGGAAAAATGGTCAATTAATACTAACAGGATAAAATATTCACAGCGGTTCGGGCCAGGTGGAACGTCGATCTCTGTTGTGTCCATAGTGACTCGCTGGAAGGGACGTTCTACTTCCGTTGGTACTATCGTGTTCGGTCCCCGTATTGAGGCGCGATCAGCGGCGCAGACTAGACAGTTGGCGACGATGTATCTGACATCATCTCGTATGTTGGTTCTGGTCTACAGTTGCCTACGTGACACGTATCGCAAAATGAGCGGCTTGTTCTTCGTGAGCCGATCGGATCCAATCATATCTCTGGAATGGATGAGGAACCGTCAACCACGAACCCGATCCGTCAGTTTTACGCTTCTCCAAGTGACTGTTGATCCACTGATAGTCCCGAGATCTCTCGGTTGCCCTACGTCTGTCATGTTTGGTGAGGTGACCCGATGATTATCCCGCTAATTTTGCCAATAAAATTTTATCCGTCCAAACCTCCGCTCGTCGGTATTTTTCGCCGTATTCAGGGTCGTCCGTACGGGCGGCCTCGAATCGAACCTCCGTGGGGAGTTTGTTCGTTCTACACAGGGGGCACCTCCATTCCTTGTTACTCGTCCGATATTGAACGCAGGCCCCGTGCGCACAATTGACACACGTGGCACATTCTATCCAATCGACAAACCCGGTTTCGAAAGGATGACAGTCGACCCCATAAACCCATGCAATACACGTGCAAAAATAGTAGAATTTGTCAGGAAGGGTGGCGAAGAAAGCTGAGAAAGTGAGAGGGGCATAATTAGTAGGAGAATAAGGGGTTGCGGAGACAGGTGGGGTAGTCATGATGACAAAGGAGGAGGGACGAGACTGAACTGCGGAGAGGGTAGAATAGACAAATTAGTCCACATGTCACTTACTGCTTCGACAAGATTTGCACTTGGTCGTACCGAGGTCCAACCTCCTTTTCGGGTTCGTTCCACGGGATCACCTCCTCACTCTTCGGAACCTTCTCGGGCCGGTGTAGTCATGTCAGTCCGTCCACATTCCCGTGTCTCTCGTGCTTCCGATGACGAATGTCAAAGTCCATGCTTTGTAGCACTGTTGCCCATCGCCCGATCATGTCAGAGTAATCCTTCGATTTCTTCAGAGCCAACAGGGGCTTATGATCGGTTACCAAGGTGAACTTTCGTCCGTACAGGTAAGGACGAAAGTGACTGATTCCCCAGAGCGCCGCGTAGCATTCTCCTGTCGGAGCGGCGTAGTTGCGCTTGCAAGCGGGCACTGATTTGGATGCATACTCCACCATGTTCTCGAGCCCGTCCGATCCCACCTGTGCCACGATCGCCGAAATTGCCTCAGGCTGCAAGTCGGTAATAAGGATGAAAGGCTTTTCGGGATCCGGCCTTATAAGGACCGGAGCCGAAATGAGAGCGGCCTTGAGCTTCGAAAACGCCTGATCACACTCCGGCATCCAAATCAACGGTTGATCCTTCCGCATCAGATTCATGAGGGGTCCTGCGATCGCCGCGAAGCCCTTGATAAATCTTCGGTAGTACGAGGCCAGACCCGAAAAGGCGCGAACTTGCGTGATAGTTGTAGGCACTAGCGCATCCCTGACAGCTGCCAACTTCTGCGGCTCCGGTTGGAGCCCCTGGTCTGTTACCACGTGTCCCAGAAAGGAAATGGTGGTAAGAAAAAACTGGCACTTCTCAAGCGCCACCTTGAAACCTGCATCTCGTAACGCATGCAGCGCCCATTCGATGTGCTGCACGTGTCCCTCGTAGGAACTCGAGAACATCAAAATGTCATCCATGTACACAATCACGCAGTAGTTGACAATGCTCTGTGCCAATCGCGTCTTCCGCACGAAGTTCTGAAAAGTCATATTCATGGCTCGCTGAAAGGTCGCGGGAGCGTTGCAGATACCCATCGGACATCGAATCCACTGCCAATTACCTTCGAAAAGCACAAACGTCGTTTTCGGACGATATTCTTCTCGGACAAGGAGGTGATGGAACCCATGACGAACATCAAACTTACTAAAAAATCGAGCACTCCCGATCGCATCAAACAACTCATCAATCCGGGGGAGGGGGTACACATCTTTGATCGTGATATCATTCAACTTTCAGTAATCAATGTAGATGCGAATCCCTCCAGCCTTTTTGGGCACAATTTCTACAGGAAAAGACCATGGACCTATTGCGGGTTCGATCCATCCATAAGCTTCAAACTCTTTAATCCGCTGAAAAGCGGCCGCTTTTTGAGCTGGCGAGTATCGGTAAGGAGCGCAGGTAATGGGCGGATGATCTCCCGTGAGGATGGCAGGCTCGATCACATTACTTAAGCCGATATCATTATCATGCACGCTCAGCACTTCTGCATAACCATTCAAAACATTGATTAATGACTTTCGAATTTTCGTGGGGACATGGCTCGGTAGGGTGATCGTAGATTCCCCAGGAGTCTCAAGGGGTACGTCGATCCAATCAACCGGCCATTCCCGCCGATCGTAGACACTCGAAAAGACGGAACTACTGGTGCGAACAGAGAAGACAGTTGCTATCATCTGAGATTCAGCGGGGCTGATCATTTCGGTTTCTTTGGTTTCGGCGTCAGTCTCTGAACCAACCGAAGTTGGTTCCACAGTTAGTCCCGTTAGATTCGTCATCTCTTGCATCAGATCAGGTACATTACCTACCGGTGCTTCTGCTTCCTGTTTAATCAAAGCGATGGTTGCTCCTGTCGTTAGTAGCGATCTGGGCGAAAAACAGACACGTCCAAATACTGTTCCGTTTGTTGATAACACGTTCGTAAGGAAAGTGCTCCCTCATACAAGGTGCGAGGGGGTTCCAAGTCATCGGCCACGCTCTCAACACATCAATCTCGCCCGTCCTAAACTGTGGATCGGGATTAGAATCGCGGTCGACCCATTCAAGGTCATCAGGGGACGATCGGATCGCTCCGATCATGCCCGCTAGATGAAGGTACTCGAGTGGATCGACCACGTCAGCAGAGTCAGAGGAAGAAGATCCCGATGTTGATGCTATTGCCGTTGTGGGGGAGGACTGCTCATATGCCACAAGTTCTCCGACTTGGGCTGTGTCCATCAATGCGGTCATTCGTTCTTGGTTTAGAGCAACAGGAGCCGCGGCCGGCGGAGGTTGATTACGTTTTGGCTGGGGACAGTCCAGGGCAAAATTTCCGGGCTGTTTGCAGTTAAAACACTGGACTTTTCCTGCTCGGTTAGCTAGGTGAGGGAACTGTGGTGCATACCTTGGAGCAGGCGGGGCAGGCAAGAGGGGATATGACGCGGGAGCAGGCCCAGCAGGGGCCGGGTTAGGCTTAGTTAGCTTGCTCATTATCTGTTTCATCCGCTCCATGTGAGCGGCCTGCACTTGGATCAAGTTGCTCGTCCATTCAGACTGCTTGGTGGTGGCCGTATGGATCATCTGGGCAAGATGTAAGTTGGTTACGGCTGGCGAGGGGGGTTCGTGGGAGATTCTACTCTTAACCGCCGCTATCGGTTGATTCACCGGGGAGAGGAAGAAGAAACAGGCGGGATATCGGAAGCGATCCCGTAAGGAAGGTCATGGTCGGGGCAGGGGTAAAATCGTTCTACCGCCCGCAACCATGATCATCGTTTAGCCGCTACATCCTGTATGGTGTCCGTAATATCTTCATCTCCCTGACTGATATATTTTTTTGTATCAGCCAGGTCTAACACCAATGCTTTAGCGATGATAGCAGAAAGCTGGTGTGTCTTTGGAGGGACCTTTTTTTTCTGTAACTTCCCTTTCAACGTCAGACTCCGTAAGTGATCGATGAACAAATCTCGACTAGATTTCTCGTCTCACCCAGATTTGTCCAACGTGGTTTGAAATTGATCCACGAAATCGGGCAGCACTTCCCCTGGTCCTTGTGGTCGAGTTTTGAGTACGTACCAGGCAGCATCTTCATTGACCGTATCGAATCGAGCCAAGAAGGGTTGTTCGAAAGTATTCCAATCTACCCATGCATGCTTTCTAAACCAGTCATGCGACGTATTACGGAGTAACAAGGTAAGAACGCAGGGAAGATCACCCGCGCTATAACCTTAAGCTTCAACGGCTTCCAGCCAAGCTTCGGGATGGGTATGGCTTGGGAAGAAGGGGAAGGGGGCAGGAATACTAACGATCACCCTATTACCGTCTACCATTGGTATAGCCGGTATAGCCGCACCAGATATAGATCTGGTTACTGGACGATCTCGGCGAGCGGGTGGGGGACTTCTTCTACCTCTTGCCAGTTCGACCTACTATCATCAGAACCGACATGTGTCGGCTTCGAAACCAGCCTCACGCCCTGTGCTGTCTTTCGTTCGGAGTGCTAGGTGTGCGAAAAAAGAGGGCCAAAAAAACAGCAAGATGGGGTGTGCCAAGGATTTTTGGAAATTGAGTGTGGGGTCACAGAAGGAACTTAAATCCCCCGTGTTGGTCCGATGAAGTAAGTCGGTTGCTTTCGAGCGTCGTGGAGTGGGCGCGTGGGCACGGTGCAAAAAGAGAGAAATCCAAATTCAATCCAAAAAGTATTGTCGAGCTTCCCACCGTGCTACGGCCCGTCATTTAAAACGGAAAGGTTTCGGTACATTTCGCGTGTCTCGTCTTCGTATCAAATCCCGTCGTCGCTCGCTGGTCAGTTCTGAGTCTGACGTGATTGGTTGCAGCCACGTGGCTCTTTCCTTATGCTCGTCTTCACCCCGTATTCGGTAGTGGAAGCCCTTGGATTCGTAGCGCTCAAAGCGCTGGCACTCTGTGCATAGAGTGCGCGGCCAGTGGGGTTCTACTGTCGTCCACGGGATGACTATCAACTCATTAAAGGGCAACAATATCGAGTAGGGTGGAAACTGGGTATCGATAATGACAAACCCAGCCTTTACGAACCATGAACAACGGTTTGCCAGGGGGAAGTGGTATCGCCCGCCGATCTGCGCGAACGCTTCTCGTACGTCCCACTCGCATACACGTGTCCTTTCCTCGTTGTAGGGAAAAGGTCGTGTTGGTACGGGAGGTACGGGAGGCTGACGCCCGATCGAAGGGTGCTTGTCAGCCCACATGTCAATCAAATGCAAAAATTCAGAGATGTCATCAAGGAAAAACACTTGCGCAATCACTAATCAATCCTTTTTGACACGAGAGAGAGAGAGAGAAAACACTCATTAGCTCGATCATGCATGCAACCGAGGGACCGACCCGCGACTCAGTTTTCCGTAAGTCACCGTAGTGGTGATCTCAGGCGCCTTATTTCTCGGGGATGCCCTGTAGACCGGCTGTAGATGTCGTGCAGCATAAGGCAGATGGCATGCGTAGTGCATTCAGAACTGCAGATCTAAACACTCTTGCATTCTCGAACAAAGTCCCGCCAAGTGCGGCGTCTAATCAATGTAGAAAGGCAAGCATCTCCATACATACATTCACTGTGGAAGGTAAAAAGATGACGAGGGTACATAAGTCAGAAATCAACCGAGGGAATTGGACACACGCATCCACCGTTCACAAGACAAAAAGGATCAATCCCTCGACACCTAGGGATTACCCATGAAACTAATGGAAGAGTTCCGGAAGAAGTTCTTTCACGCAGGAAAGCACACAGATTCATTCCCATCCAAGACAGAGAGACAAACATCGAGACACATCATCATTCAAAGATAGAGGAGAGAGAGAGAGAGACGAGGGAGAAATGTCGAGATAGAAGATGACAAGATCCGAAAAGAGGAAGTTCGGCGTTGTCACCGTACACTCACGTCCGAGATAAAGATCCACAACAACAAAGGCGCATTCGCCGTTAATTCCAATATGGCCCCGGGCCAATCACTCACTCAACTCCAATCATTGTTCCTCATACCCGCACCGACGATCCCGATCGTCGCTTGTTATCTCCCACCACTGTGATCGTCACCCCGCCGACGCAAGTTCGACGCGGTTAGCCTAGATCCCACAGTCCCTCGTGGTAATCAAGCGCGCAACCGGCTAACCCGTCGTCAGCCCGACAGGACTTTCCGACTCGCACCAAATGCTCCGCCTAGCCACTGCTTCCCGGAAGCTGGCTTAGGAGTCGAGAACGTAAGAGAGCTTTGCGGGCGCGTTCGCGGAATTTATAGTGGCGAGAAGGGGGGCGAGGGAGAGAGAAGGCAGGGGGAAAGTCGAAGTGTAGGGAAAGAAGCAGGAGGAGAAGACTTTTAGAAGAGCGCTCCGTGGGAGCCATGTTGATCCCTGGAGACTCAAGGTTCAACCAATCAGATTCGTCGCGCAATAGGCAGATCCTATCGTACCACGCGTCTGATTGGTGGGCGAGAGCAATCGATGCATTAGGCGCGAGAAGCAGTGCAGGACCGGTCCAAGATTCAGATGATCAAGAAGGGGAAATGGGCGCGCAAAGAGTAGAGCGGGAGAGAGAGAGAGAAAAAAACAGTTACGAGGAGAGAGGAAGAGGAGGGAAGAGAAAAAAAAGGAGCGCGGGAGAGAGCGATGAGGGGGAGAAAGCTTTGCACGCGCGGCGCCATCAACAAAAAAAGAAAAAGGCACCGAAACAGTTACAACTTGCCTACCGCCTAAACCAATTCACAATTGAAATCACCATATCCGCGCGCGAAAGAGCGACACGGGAAAAGAAAGTCCTACGCCTATTCGTATCCCCACATAATTCCGAGAGTTTTCCCCAACACGACTGAGGACATTCATACACAAAAAGGACACGTCGAAGTTCCGCTTATCCCGGAATTCCCAACTGCCGGACCCAATTCCCAGTGCGCTCGCTAAGGCGAACGTAAATTCCCATGTATTTCCCGAATTGCAAAAAGAAAAAGCAGAACCCGGGAATCGTAAAAGCTTCCGAAAGGTGGGGGCTCAAAACGCGGCACCCAAAATCAAGAAAACGAAACGGAGTTTT